GCCACTGAGTCACATCCTCAGCCCTAATTTGTACTTTATTTAGAGACAGGGTCTCACTGAGTTGCTAAGCATCTCACTGTTGCTAAAGCTGGCTTTGAATCTGCGATCCTCTTGCCTCAGCCTCCAGAGTCATTAGGAATACAGGCATTTGCCACTCAGATGCAGATGTGCTTTTGGGGTAATATTTTTTCTCTGGCAGATGGAAATGGCTTTATTTGTTCTGCAGTTGTCAAGTCCTGAGCTGTTTTCCTCCTCCATATCTTTCCTTCATGATGCTCTGCCTCATTTCGGGCCCAGAACAATAGAGTTGGCCGTCTATGGACTGAGAACTATGAAATCATAAGCCCCAAATCAACTTTCCTTTTCTAACATTTTTCTTGACAGGTCATTTTGTCACAGTGGCAAAGTAGTTGACTGAAACATGAATCGATCTGTAATATTCAGATAAAACCTAAAATCTTTCCTAGGCAGTTTAACGTTAATCCAAAACTTTTGTACCTACTCACTAAATATTTTATAGCCATCTTTCATAACTTGCCTATTTTTTAATCTTAACTCAAAAGGAATTTGATTGATCTAAACAAACCTTAAAACCCAAGATGAATTTAGATGAAATTTCTGTTTGCATATTTTATATAAATTAGTACATTTCATGGCATTTGCAAGTAAATGGAGAGAGTTAGAGAAGATAATGCTAAGTGAAGTTAGTCAATATCAAAGAACCAAATGCCGAATGTTTTCTTTGATATAAGGAGGTGACTCATAGTGGGATAGGGAGCAGGAGCATGGGAGGAATAGACAAACTCTAGATAGGGCAGAGGGGTTGGAGGGGAAGGCAGGGGGCATGGGTTTATTAATGATGGTGGAATGTGATTATCATCATTACCCCAAGTACATGTATGAAGACACGAATGATGTTATTCTACTTTGCTCTATATGTGTAATAAGAATTGCAATACATTCTGCTGTCATATATAAATAAAAAATAAAAATAAAAATAAAAATTAGTTTAACACAGCTCATTCCTTCAGTCATTTATTCAGCAAATATTTATTAAGGACCTATAATAGGCCAGGCACTTAGGAATACAACTAAGGAAATCTCTGCCTTCATGGAGCAAAGGGGAGGAAGAATGATGATCTCTATATGTTTGTGTAAAAAATAATGAAACAGATTTGGATGCATGCAGTGAAGAAAAGTAAAGCAAAAACAAAGGAAAGGGATTGGAGTGAGGGACTATTTCAAACCAGATAGTTTGGAAAGACTAAATCTCTTTAATCAGATTTTTAACAGGAGTCAGAGAAAGAGTCATGCTATTCTGAGGAAGAGGATTTTATGGAGATGAGAAACATAAGAACAGGCCCCAAGAGGGCTCAGCAA